TATGGGCTGGGTTCCACTCGAAAGCAACCCCGAAGTCCGTAACAGCCTTGTTCTGGTTGCCCAAGTTGTGTACTAATAATAACTCCCCCACACCAGGTCTTCAACAAGGTAGGTATCCGAGTTTACATCGATCGGGGCCGCAGTATCAGAGAGACCTTGATTGATTGTGAATGTGTCCGTAGTGGGCTAGTCAAGCGGGCCTGGACACATCTTCAGATTGCTTCAATGACTTATATTCGCTTGACCCTGAGGTGAGTCCGTCCAAATACATACTTTTATAGGTATAGTTTGGCTGAGAAGATTCCATCTACATCTAGATGTTAGCAATGATTCCACGTCCAGTGAAAGCAGTCATCTTGGTGTTTCCCTGGGAAGAAGCGAGATACAGACGAGCTGCAGAAGATGAACGTCTCGCGAAAGAAGGAGGTCCCAAAATCGATGAAAACGTTTTCTGGATGAAGCAAACGGTAAGTCCTGTCAATCTCCGTTATGTTATTTCGCTCATTCTGAGTGACCCTTGTGCCTTGTGCCTTTTTTCTTTCTTTTAATTAATTCTGTGAACAGATTCATAATGCTTGTGGTGCTATGGCTATGATCCATGGTATAGCAAATGTAAAGTTTCCTTCGACCCACTCTTTTTCTCCAGTCGTGAAATTACAGCGTTGATCATATTTTTGGATGTAGAGCGATGTCAAGCTCCTTCCTTCATCTCCTCTTCAAATACTACTGGATGAATGTAGGAACAAGCCCACGTCCGAACGGCCAAAAGTCCTTGAAAACTCGCCTAAATTTGCAGAGATACATGCTTCTGTAGCGAACGCGGGTCAATGCAGACCTGCTGAAACCGATGAGCATCCAGATCAGGGATATATATGTTTTGTAGTTGCTCCCGGACCGAAAAACAGTGAAGGTTCGAGTCAAAGCAGGGTAGTGGAACTTGATGGAGGGCGTGCGGGTCCTGTTGACCGTGGAGAGTGCGGTGATGATCTTTTGCTGGCGGTTGTGCGGCTTGTAAAGGAGGAATTCATAGGCAAGAGTGGGAGCATTAAGTTTAACATGATGTATTTAGGACGGCCGCTCGTCGAGTAAGGAGTTTGAGCTTTGTTGGCTGACGAGGTCGCGTAGTAGCACGTTTTTGCGTACGTCTACAATTCTTCCTATGTACCTTCACAAGATATTCTCCTTCACGTCTTCGTCGACTCTTCGAATTTGACTTTGAGAAGTTAATTTGGGAAAGATACAAGTTGCCAGTAGGAGCCGAGCCGTAGTCGACCAATTAGAGGCTGTCAATAGGACTTGTTAAGAACCGAACATGATTCCCTTGAGCCTCCACCATCATGATGGATGCCCGCGCATGGCTGCTTCTCTTCTTCCCTCTACAATGTGCCCGGATGTGAACTATTTTCACTGCTGCCTGTTTGCCCAAGACCGGCATTGATAGCTACAAGTTTGGACTAGCCCGGTGACAAGTTTTTAGCGCGCGATTCAGTTTTGACATGTACATACCGGCCGGAGTTTCCCAACAAGATCCATTCTGTACGAAAGCAGAAGAAATGATTACTATTTTATCTGTTTGGCATTAACCCTGCTCTTGCCGTCGACCTTCTTTCTTTCCCGCCTTCTTAGGTGGACTTCGTGGGGCTTCCATACAAGAAGGAGCTTTCTGCAGACCGACTGACGAGGACTCACGGAGTAAGTATTATGCCTGACCTGCATTCAAGTTTCGAAAGCGACGTTGACAAGACAGATTTAGGTGTAGCATAACCCTGAGCACTGGTTTCCAGGTCCTCTAGTCTTTGGCACCGATACGTTTAGACTTGAAAGAACCTTTTCCACCTGGACCCATCCAACATTTTTTCCCTTTCTCTTATCGCTTGAGATTGGACCTCTCTTTGTCCGGGTATCGACTCTTTGGCGCCGTACACTGTACAGGACTGCGAAACGTGACGGATCATTCTAAACTACATTTACCATGTTCACGGCTTGTTCTTTCCGGACACAACGGCGCTATCATCGAGTACTTTTCTTCTCAGCTTTCCTCGTCGTATGCTGGTTTGCACTCACAGGCACGACTGGGGGAGAGTACATCCGAATTTTATTGGACTTCCAACTTCAGCCTAATCCTCACGCACACACAGACACAGACGCGAAGATTGTCGACGAGAATCAACAGCAATCGTCATCCTGGGAAGGGCTGGATGCAGAAGTGTATCAAGTCCAGCACGATAATGACGAGAACTCTAGATTCAACACGTTGGTGATACCAGAAGAAAAAGAGTCCGTCAGTTCCAGATCCCATGTGTTCCGGGAAGATGGGCTCGTGGAGGTTAATCTTAACAGTCCTCACCCGATTTTCGAGATGATGGAGCACGCAGAACGGGATTGGAATAACAAATTAGCGAAGGCAAGCACGACCTTGGAACAGGCAGTAACGGAGTATAGGAGGCGATATAAGCGGGATCCCCCAAAAGGTTTCGATAAATGGTGTGCCTCTCTCTCACTTCTGCACAACTTGGGCAATATTAAACAACGCTCTATATTTAGGTGGGCATATGTCGAACGTCATCAAGTTCTTCTCCCGGATGAATATGATATGATATACGAAGACCTCGAGCCTTTTTGGGGACTAGATCCGATGGACCTTCAACAAATTCACGACGAACTCGAATCTAAGGTAGACTCTTACACCCTCGGCAAAGAATCCAATCTCGACAAAATTAAAGTCCTAAGAACGTCCTTTCATGAGGGAGCAAATTACGAGCAACTCATTCATGGTTCAAAGGGGATATTGGATCTACTAGACGACATCCAAGACGAGCTTCCCCCTTTTCGCGCAACATTTTCTCCACACGACAATCCTAATCGACTCAACGACTACGGAGTACTATCCACAGTACTACAAGCTGCTTCAACCAACAACCCAATACCAGAATCCGAACTTCCCCAGAGACAGGAAAACCTCTACTGGCTCTCCGCCTGCTCACCCAACTCTACTGCGCGCAAAATGCCTACGTGGAATTTGGACGGACCAGCACCTCTTTCTTCTCCATCTGGACACAAAACACTTATTTACAACCACAAACTCGCGATGGACCCATGTCTCCACCCTCGTTTATTCTGGAAACATGGTCAACTCCTTTCTCACCATTACGGTCCCCATCCGCAACCTCATCCCATACCGGAGTTCTCGCTCTGCTCGACGACGTTGCATGGGGATATACGATTTCCTTCGCCGTATAGCTGGGTTGAGGATGCTCAGGGTGATAGGGAGTGGGAGGATAAGATTGACGAGAGGTTGGGTTGGCGAGGGACGACTACAGGGATTTTCGCTAACGATCTAGGGAAGACGAGGTGGAGAGATGGGCATCGGTTTAGGCCTGTTCAAATGGCTGCAGAGATCGAAGGGGAACTCGAAGTCCTGATGACACCTACTACTACTACTCATCACCTCGACGAGCATGTTTTCAAGAAGAAACAACTTGAAGTTGAAGCAGAAGGTGCGCCATATGGCTACGGTGATCATGGTTATGAAGAAGACCGTCAAACACCCCTCGGTCAACCTCGAAAGTTCCGAAAATCCTTGATAAACCCAGCGTTGATGGACTTGGCTTTCGCAGGCGATCCAAACACCTGCGAACCCTCTACGTGTCAAACTATCCGCTCTTCTTACGCTTTTCGTCTTCGTCAATCCGACACCGAGACATTCCGATACAAATACCTGCTCGACGTCGATGGGAACGGCTGGTCAGGTCGGTTCAAGCGACTCATCACGTCGAATTCTCTCGTGTTCAAAGCGACGATGTATCCAGAATGGTTTGTGGATAGGATACAGCCCTGGGTACATTACGTACCTGTGCAGTTGGGGATGGAGGATTTATATGACGTGTTTATGTTCTTTAGAGGAGATCTATGCGGGAAAGGGGGGCATGAAGAGTTAGGGAAGAAGATCGCGAAGCAGGGGAAGGAGTGGAGTAAGAAGTTTTGGAGGAGAGAGGATTTGGTAGCGTATTTTTATAGGTGGGTATTTGTGATTGATTAACTGCCATTCTAGTGCACGAGCTGACCTTGGGATGATTTCCTTCCGCTTGCTTGGTTTTCATCAGGTTAATACTGGAATACGTTAGGGTCATCAGTCTTGACCGAGAAGGAATGAGTTTCCATTTGGAAGGTGACTCTGAAGACGTTGCAGTCTAAATCTGAGCCTCCCTCGGGCTCTTGAAAATAAGTCTCCCGTTATGATTCTGTACTGAGATTGTAATTTGGACCACTAGTGTACGAAGGACCTCTCCTGTTTGTACGTGTATTTAATCGATTCCCGTCGAGAGATGTTCAGAGTAGACTTTATTAGTTAGGGTTCCGTCAGAACTGATCCATTAATATAGTCTATACTAATATTAACAAAACTGGTTGTACGAAGTGGAAACTGTGAGTGTGTTTCTAGCAGAGATGGTAATGCTTTGTGTACACTGTTTTTGGGTGGCTATGCTGGCTGTGACTTGTCAAATTTCCCCTGTGGGTTCAAGAGTCTTTCTGGAGTGTTCAAACTTTAAGTACCCAGAACATACTACTTATAACTCAAACCTTATGACTGGCTCATACACTTCTGATATGAGAACCAGGTCCATGATGATATGTTTCTGATGCTGTGGGTCATTCACACAAAAAGCCTGCTTTGCCAGCCCCAATTTTATTCATGACTGCATGGTGAGTGAACAACAGTCACAACAGTCCAACTTATTAAGTTCAGTCTGAGTCTAATACAAACAAAGATTTCCTAAGACCTTGGTAAAACAAGATTCCATTTCAATGACTACCTTAACAATAGACTCGAGCCAGTCGCTCACTAGTCTGTTTCGTTTGATGAGTCGATCAAAGAGCCGCAGACGCGGCTTGTCAGCCCGCGTCTCCGATCGACTGTCATCGAAGTTACGTCGGGCCGGTAAGCCGGCTGGGTACGAGTACTTGCTTCATTCATACTATATCAGCCCAATGTTATCAACTCCCTGGTAGTGTATCGGTTAGTACACGCGCCTGTCATCATCAAACTTTAGCGCCGTAGCTTTACTAAAGACGCGCGAAAGCTGGGTTCGACTCCCAGCCAGGGAGATAGGATTGCATGTTTTTTCTTTTATTCTTTAGATCCTTGGATTTGTAAGTTTTCTTTAATGCGATTGTTCACGCATATATACCGTTGTATATGTTGATCATGAAGTTTTTGTACATGTACTCTTGAAGCTTGAACCTGTATGTACCGTGCAACAGTGACTGTGTTACCAAAGTGCTTATACTAGAATGTCGCTGCAGGGTTGAAGATGAGATGATTTTCGTTTGGGAGAAATTTGAAGTGATATATACGCTCTAAGTATGAAGTTAAAGAAGTCGAGCAACATCCGCTGTCCAGAGAAAAACTATCTATCTCAGGCTACAATCAACCTTTCCAATCACCCTTTTACTGCTTCTTCTTAGCACCCTGCATTTTCTTACTCGCCTCCACCTTCCCCACCTGTTGTTGTTGTTGTTGAGCACCGACCCATCCCACCACAGCTCTATACCCAAACAAGACAGTCAACACCAACGCACCCAACGCTTTCGCACCCTTCTGTGACAACACCAACGTCTTTGCTTCCCCTTCTCCTTCCACGTGTACCTGTACCAACCTCTCCACCCATCCAGGAACAACACCTCTAAAAGCCTTATGTCCACTCGACACTCCAAACACCAAAGCGATTAACGCACCTCCCCATATATCCATCGTTCCTAGTAAACCTACACCGGGACGCAAGAAAACCGGGGTAGAGAAAGACCAATTGGGAGTGAAGGTAGAGAAAGTCGAAGCGGTGACACTTCCTCCAGCTGAAGCTACTGCTCCCAATATCAAATGGAACAAAGGTGAATCGACTAACGCGGGGTGAATTCTCGCGTAATTCGGATTACCCTGGGGAGAGGGAGAAGGAGAAGGAGAAGAGGAAAGCATCCCGACTGTCGAAGTAATCGCGTTCACGCGAAGTAAAGCGTCGATTGGGAATAACACCAAATCGTACGTTTTCATCTTGTCTATATCTAATAATCCCGGAAACGCGTAGAAAAGACCTGTGAAGAGGAGATGGACGGAGAGGTAGTTGATGTAAGGGTGGATGGAGACGAGAGCTGGTGGTGGGAGGGAGAGGAGGAGATGGGAGAAGAGCATGCCGCCCCAGGACATGAGGAGGTAACCTGCGAGATGGGTTTTCCATCCTAGTTTGTTATTGCTGTTGGGAGGTTGTTTGGAGAGGAAGTGGAAGACGAGTGAGATTCGGGCGGCGTGGAGAGTGTTGGCCCAGGGGTAAGGAAAGAGGGTCGGATGAACTTTGGTGGACTGGATAAAGGAGAGGCCATCAGCAAATGGGCGGAGGGTTATCGCGAGTGAGGAGGCCATGGTCGACCGTTCTGAGAGGAGGAAATAAAGACTAAAATATGTGTAAGCGCAAAGTGTTTTGGAATATGTCATTGTCGGAATACCGGAAAAACGCGAATCCGACGTCATAAGCGCGTTTCCGTCGGACTGCCCTTCTTCCTCCTTAAATTCTCAGCCTTTCCCCTTCTTTCGCCCTCTTTCAGCTCTGACAACGATGCCCACGTCGAGGCTGGTGCCAGGAAGATATCCCGCTCCAGGCGTATCCCCTATCGCGGACAAAATCCGCGAAAGACGCGGTGCTAGGGGTCTTACACCTCTCGATGGAACTTTACTTCACGTTCCTGCCGTTGCAGAAGGCTGGAACACCCTCCTTGGCGCGGTAAGAACCAAAGGCCAGATGCCAGGTGATGTAAGAGAGTTGATGGTAAGTCAATCACATCTGTAACCCGATTAATTTTGAACTACCTCGAATTGAATCTAATCTAATCTAACAACTCGTATCGTATTACTATGTAGATCCTCCGCGTCGCAGCTCGCAACTCTGCCGCCTTCGAATGGATCCACCACGAACATGTTGGCCGAGACTGCGGTCTTAACACCTCTCAACTCTACCTTATCCGAGACACTTCCTCTTTACCCTCTTCTACCGACACCACTCTCACCCCTCTCCAATCTTCTGCTCTTGCCTTCGCAGATCAATCCACTTCCAAAATCCATGTAGATCCCTCCACCACTTCTTCTCTCCTCTCCGCTCTCAAGACCCTCGCTTCCAACGACACCTCCAAAGCCCAAGACCTCCTCGTCGAATGCGCCGCCATCGTCTCTTCCTACAACATGGTCTCTCGTTTCCTCGTCTCTCTCGACATCGCTGCCATGTCCGACAACCCCGTCCCCTGGCCTTCCCAACTCCAAACCCACCGCGTCCCTATCCCTTCCACCTCCGGCCACTTCCTCCATGTCGAAACTCACATCACCGACCCCGCCGCACCCTGGATCGTCCTCTCCAATTCCCTCCTAACAAACACTTCCTTATGGTCCTGGGTCTTACCTCACATCCTCTCCCCACAACCCGACGGACCCGCATTCAACGGTATACCTAAATTCCTAGGTAAATACAACACTTTCAACGTTTTATTACACGATCAAAGAGGACATGGGAAATCTTCTTATCCTTCCTCTCAGAGCGTAGACGCTCCTTTACCTTGTACAATCCCTCTCCTCGCATCCGATATCGCTCTCATCCTCTCTCATCTCTCGATTCCATCCGTACATGCCGTGATTGGTGTATCTCAGGGTGGTGCGACGGCGTTGGCGTTTGGTGCGATGTTTCCTCATCTTTTACGTGGAAAGGAGGGAGGAGGAGGAATAGGAGGAGTTGTTTCGTGCGACACTGGACCAAAGACACCAGCTGGGAATAAAGAAGCTTGGGAAGAGAGAATGACGTTAGCGAAAAGCGTACAAGACGAAAAACAAGGAATGGGAAAATTGGCAAAAGTCACTAGTCCGAGATGGTTTGGGAAAGGATCGAGATGTTCACTTGAGACCGAGACCGAAACTGAGTTGGGGCTACGTAGAACGAGGACGGAGGTGATAGACGAGATGATTGTGAATACGCCACGAGAAGGGTTTTGTGTTGGTGCGAAAGCTTTGTCGGATTATGATTTGATATCTGGTCAAGATATGAGTGACCTCGATTCTGGGAAAGGTTTATTGGACTCGGATGTTCCTGTGCTTCTCGTCGCAGGTGAACTCGATGGTGCAGGGAAAGTGGCGCAGGGGATGATGGGTTTAAAGAAGAACTGGGATGAGAGGAGGAAAGAGAGAGGGGTTAAGGAGGTGGAGATGAGAGTTGTTGAGAGGGCTGGACATTTACCGATGGTGGATGAGACGGAAGAGTGGTGGAAGGTTGTTGGGTCGTGGTTGGTTGGGTTGGGGAGGTAAGTAAGAGTTTGCCTATAATGAAACAGGATAAGTATTAGGGAAAGAGAAGGAAGGATGTATGTACGAGATATGTAAAGTTATTAACTTTGGACAAAACTGAATGAAATGTTTAAATGTATTTTTTGATTTCTTTGGCTTCTTTCAAGATCTTGTTCTTGAGGTGTTGTTGTTGTGCTACTAAAATAATCCCCGTAAATAGACCTAATCTGCAACGAGAATTTTGAAGGCCCCACTGAGAAAAATGAAAATGGAGCTAAAGAAAGATGATAATGGGGTCAAAGAAAAACGATGTGACAGCCAGTGTGAGAAATATTTTAGGAAGCTGTAATGTAGGCCACCATAGGTGTTCGTTGGGGAGCAGTAACACCCTATATTTGACGCGTTTGGGATCCACAACGCAATACGAAGTCCTCTATTAGGTGGGGGCAATAGGATTGTGTCGTGGTGTTGTAGGGTATTGCTGGGAAAACGATTCGGAGGGTGTTTAGGGGTTGCAATGACTACTTGCATTCCGTGCACTACTGACTAGGGAGGTGTGACACTGGCAAGGATTGCTCTGAAGATTTTTCAGGTGGGGCCTAAAGAAATCTGAACCGTTTCTAACTAAATAAAAACGCTCAAAATTCTCGTTGCAGATTAGGTCTAATAAGGAACAATTTTAGAACCTTCCACAGATGCAGTCTATTACGACTACTGTACCATTTCGACCAACAGTTCAGTAACACATAACAACAGGGGTCTGAACTAGATAATTTTGAAAATCGTAACGCATAACACAGGGTTCTGAACTGGTTCCGTATTATTTTCGTCACATATTTAGCCAAAAAAGGTGTTTTTTGGGTGGCCGGCCATGGCGGCATTCAAAAACATAATGCACATTTTTGGCCTCTGAACTGATGTTTTACAAAATCAAAGCATAACACATAACACCCTATGAACTGTTGGTCGAAATGGTACAGTAATAAACTTGAACACACTCATAGATAAAGGAAGTCCAAGAGCCGCCGTGGGCAAATGTCGGAGTTTGAATAAGTACTTAAGACGAGAACGCAGCAACTGAGCAAGGGTTCTTCCTCCTTGTAACTCACGTTTCTTGTGCCACTCCAAATCTTCTTCGTGTTTGCCATCAAGACTGGTCTCTGTGCTTAGTGAACTAAATTCAAAAGCGAAATCTAGAAAAAAATCGCGTGTCGTACCCAAAAACCTTTGGATAACGAATTTATAAAGGGTCTCGTGCCATCATGCAGACGTTGGGACACGAAGGTTCTGGCGTTTCTGCACCGACTCTCTCTTCTTCTTCTCCCGAGCCCAGTTTTGGATCTATAGACAGCTTCCCGACAGAGATCCTCATCAAAATCTTTTCGTCCCTCTCTGATTCCCATTTCGTCGAAGATCCGCATCGTACCACACCTCAAGTGACGTTCAGACAAAAGAACGGACTTCCAGAGAGGCCGCACTGTCGGGCGATAGACCTTTCCCCTACTTCCTTCTCCCCCGTCCTCCGTCTCTCCCATACATGCAGACGTTGGCGAGAAATCGCCTTGTCCATACCTCATCTATGGTCCAAGATCATGGTCAACATCGCTAACCAAGGCACTTCTCTCTTTCACCTCGTCCAAACCTTCTTACGTCTTTCGAAACCTACCCCACTGAGTCTGAGAGTATGGGCTTACAAACCATGTGTTGGTGTTTTCGGAGACAATCGGTGCACGCCCTCTGTGTATCTGAGCGCAGAGGGACGGGACGTTCTTCAGTTACTGATAGACGAACA